GCTTTACGTCTGTATACACAGAGAACCAATGGCTCAGTGTAGTAGAACGCAGGCATAATGCCAGTCCACAGTATCTTTAAGCAGCGTGCCTGAGAGAAACTTCATTCCCAGAGGACTTACAGAGTTGCTGCTAATGATGCTATTGGTGGACAAGATGGTCCACTGACTCCAGACAAGGCAGTTACTGTCGCATTACGGCGACGCTGCTGTTAGTGTATGCCCCAGGAGATGCCAGCAGTGATGACCCAGCCACTTATGCTTACAACAGGGTCCAATGTTCTCCAACCATAGAGGACTCTCTTGAACCACTATCAGGACTGGTGAGTCAGAGGAAAGGTTCAGGATGCAGAAGCATCATGGACTGATCAGCTCTTGTCTTCGTCCATGCCCACATTCCACTAGGCTGAGATTTTAGGACTCCCTGAAAGCAAATGGTGCTCCTCATAAATACATTTATTAGTTGAAAAAATACTATTTTAGTAGTATTTAGAAGTAGTCTGCTTTTTTTGCTCTTGCAAAGAATCCAAGGGATCTCCTGCTTTCTATTTTATCTCATAACAACAACTCTGTGAACTAGGTTTGGTGGAGAAGCAGTGACTGGCCCAAAGTGACCAGGTGACCATCATGGTCAAGCGAGAACTAGAACCCAGAGCCTCTGAGTCCCAGTCCAGTACTCTCACCACTATGCCCCATTGGCTCCAAGTCTTTAAGTGAAATATTCCTATTCAGCTACGTGCTCCACAAGTTAACTGCCTTAATATATCAAAGAAGGGGCTGCCAACTTTAAATCTGGGGTTAAATTGTTAATTCAACTGCAAAACAGTGAACTAAGAGCATAAGAAAAGCCATGCTGGGTCACACCAAAGGTCCATCTAGTCCAGCACTCCATACACACAGTGGCAACCCAGCTTCCCACAGGATCCCTCAAGCAGGAGGGGTGCAAGACCTCCTCCTCCCCAAGCTCCTCAGGAACTGCTATATGCAGGCATCCCTCCTCTGGTGAAGGAGGCAGCACATGGCCAGCAAGGCTGGTAGCTGCCGAGAGCCTCCTCCCTCGTGAATCTGTCCAATCTGCTTCTAAAGCCATCCAGATTGGAGGCCATCTCTGCTTCCCATGGCAACAGATTCCATTATTTAACTGTATGCTGTATGCAGAAGTACTTACCTTTGTCCGCCCCAAGTGGTGTTCTTTTTATAAAGGAAGTGCTCTAAGGTGACGTTTCAGTTGCTTTGAATTGCTTATTATATCCAACTCTGTATGAATTTGTTAGAACCCTTTATTACTGTACTCACATCGCTCCGCAAATGCTGGCTGGCTGTATGGCAACCTATTTCTTTATGGACAAGCTGGCTTATCTCTTGCCAGATGGACATTTCCCACCAATGAGTTGGCAATACATTTGTGGATTCCTCACTGTGATGCCACCGTGTTCCCTACATGTTCCCTGACTGGCTAGCTTCACTTGTGAAGAAATAAACAGGGAAAAAGGCCACTGAAGCAGCAGCAAAGAGGGTGGCAGAGAAATATGGCTGCAAAGAATAGCAAACAGTTGCACAAAAAGGAGGAATAATTGTTTTTTTCAGGATGGGTTTCAAGCTTCCTTTGAAATTGTGAGATAAAAGGAAAAAACTTGAAAATGTTTGGCTCAGGCCTATGATGCTGTTCTAAAAGGAATGTCTAAGTCTTTCATATAGACGTACAAATGTACTACACTGATAGTTCATTTGTTTGAAGATCAGATTTCCTTGTTACTTTTGGCACCGCGACTACGTTTTTGTTAGAATATTGAAAGTGACAAGTGCTCCATCAAGAAAATGTAGAAAATCCAAGAACTCTCCAGCTCTAAGAAATGTCCACAGGGGGTGGGGGAAGTGAAGAGAGTTAATTTTTTTCAGACTTGCATCTTCTATAGGGCAGATTTATCTTAAATGAAAATATGGCTATGCAAACGCCTTCTGTTTCAGGAGGAGAAATGCGAAGTGTTCATTATTATTTTAAGCTATGTTACAGATGGGTGATGGACGGGGGGAATCTCCACACCACAAGGTTGGGGGCTCTTACAAGGAGAAGCTCCATACAGCCCTGTAGTGCTACCCTGAGGCTGGTTTGGGGTGAACCTGAGAAAAGGGAGCGTACAAGAACCTTGTAATTTAGTACGGTATTAATATCCCTATGCTGGGGGTGTATTTGTGTGCATGTGAGGGAATGTAGTTTACAACAACTCTGTCGTACAGTCATGGTTGGACTATGGGCCAAACCACTGAGTGCGTCTCACCTGTCCACTGGATTGCTTATGTGCCTAACAGAGTGTTGGTTTTTCCATTCTTTTTCATCACTGCAGCTTGTGTGCTTTACACACCTAATCTAATTCCCTACTTTCTCTCTCTCCCTCCCCTCCCTTACACTGCCTGACTGGGGGCTACACTGGGGGCTTGTTGGCACACTGCACACACACACGCACAGAAACGCAGAGGACCAGGTAATTACCACATCTCCCTCCTTTAAATCTTCCCTCTCTAGTTCACTTTCCTACGCCAAAGTAAACGAACACAAAGGCTCTGTTTGTATGAGCGGAGTAACAGGCATGGTTTTTCCCTTTCTACCCCTTCTTGTACAGTTTTGCCATTAAGTTCAACATTGCTCCTTCCTCCACCTCTGTGCACACGCGACAGATTCCTGGAATTCACTGGCACGCTTCTCTGCCTCTGATAGCTAAACCCTGCACGTCGATTCGATCACGGCTCTTCCTTATTCCTCACCCCAGGTTTCCCCAAGTTCTCTGTATGTTTAATACGACTTCTCTTTGGCAACATACACGGGCACTTCTGGAAAAAAGAATCGACCATCTGACTTATAAACATTTTCTTCTTCACAGAAACCACAGACACTCCCCTCCTTCCCTTTCCAAAACACGTTCCTCCTTTGAACCTGTGGCATTATGAAGTCTTTTCCTGGGTTCTTCTCCAAGATTCCTGCTGGAACAGAAAATGCTGGCGCTACCTTTTTCATTCCTCAGTTGTGTTTTAAAGTTCCTAAATATGAAGCTCTGAATATTTTCATCTCTTCAGAATCCGCTTGAGGAAAGGGGAAGATGCACTGGAGGAGAATTTGTGCAGGGTTGTGGGGGAATCAGAACTTTTTTCTGTGCACGCTCCTTGACATACAATATGGGAAAGAATCAGTGTATAGTTGGTTGTCCTGAAAGCTTTCCATAGCGTCCAAAACATCCCCTTTACTTTGCACACCTGGATAAAGCCTGCCAAAGCGTAACAACGAGCGTATCCCCCCCTCCATCTCTTCTGTGCCTTTGATAATACCCAACTGTAGGCATACATTGTCTGCACCATTATCTGAAAGAAAGAAAGTCCCCTTCAAATGTACACAGCTAGTGTGATGTCCCTCTCCCATTGACAAGAAAAAACGAGAGGAGTTGCTTCCATTCACGCCTCTCCAAGGCATTTCCTTGGATCAAACTCCATGCTAGGCATTACCATCCATGTGTATTATGAGGAACCTCAGGGGCCCCTCCCCAAACTTTAGAGAGTAAAAAAGCTTTTCAATTTCCTAATGCACATTCCCCCATAACATTAATTTTCAGGGGATTTTTTCCCTGGAAAACCCCCCGTTTGAAATGCATCTGGCTTCAAAGCAGGGAAGCTTGGGGGCGGGGCTACCGATCAAAAAGGCTCCCCTCTCCCCAGAAGGCTTTCCTGCTTGCCACGTACAGTGATTGTGGAGCTGGCCTTGGAGACTTGAAGCAAGTGTGCCCTACGTGTTCCCCTTGCCACAAAAGCCTGGCTAAGGGACATGAACATAAGGTCACAGAAGGTCCACACATAGTTAGTTGCACCCATGGGATGCTTCTCGCAACGCCAATTTGCGTGTGTTAGCATGAAATTTGCTAAAACTGTAAAGGAAAGGGCAAAGAACAATCTCTCCACCAGCTTCTGCTGCATAAATCAGGCAGCCATCAGAGCCACTTAGAGCAGCTCAGGTCAAGCTGGGAACTTAACGCATTTCATTGTTTTTAAAAAAGGAAAATAACACCTATTTTTTTTCTGGTCTTGCTCAGAAGACAGCACGACTCGTTTCCCATTGCAGACCTATCCCTTAGTGTTGGCCGTGTGTGCATCTAATTGTAATTTTATGTCCATATTTAGTAATAGTGCGAGCCATCTTCCGAGGGTTATACGCCTAAAAGGTGGATTAAAGTCTCTTCAACACGCAAGTATTCAAGAAAATTAGAAAACGTCTTAAAAATAAGAATTAAAAAGCTTTAAGGTAAGAGAAGGCGCGCACGCACACAATAACGCAACCGAACTGATGGCCCCTTTTATGTACTTCTATTCTCATTTGGTTGGTTGTCTGCTCGCCTTGGCAGCCCGTTAACCAAAATTGGAATTTGGTGACAGAGAGCTTTGACTTAGGTTGTTTTACTTGAGGTGTTCTACCAGCAGATCAGTGCTTTATTAAGAATTATAATTACAGACTTTTAAAATTCGATCTCGTATTATTTCCCGATCTTGTATTTGATGGGGATGGTTGCAGCTTTTTGGCAGCAACCATCTTTTCTTTCTTGAACGGGTGTTTCAAAACAAAACATTTCAAGGGAAAGACGACAGGAAGCGGTCTAGCGGCGCGGCACGAATACCACCCACTTCCTGCACCCAAAACCACGGGCATCCCGCAAGCGAGCTGCCCTCTCCCGCCGCGCTCACAAGCCTCGTGGGAGCCGCAAAGGGCGCCACTTGCCGTCCCGCGTCCTCTCCCACTCGCCTCCCGGCAGGAGAGGAGGAGCAGAGACCGAGAACTCCCGCCCTTCGTCTCTTCTCGTTGGCTGAAGTCGGCTGAGCGACGGCGCAGGCGCAGCCAGCCAGTGTGCGCCTGGTGGCCAGTCACGTGAGCCCGCCGAGCCCGCCTCTGTCTCCTCCCCCTCCCCCTCCCCCGGTCTTCCCCTCCTCTGCTCCTGCCCCTCCCTCCTCCGAGCGTCCGTCCGTCCATCTCCTGGCTAAGGCTGCTTCTTCCACCGCCCTCCGCCGCCAGCCGCGCGTCTGGCGGTAGGTGCGTTTGCTCGGCTGTCTTTCGGGAGTGGGGTTGCTGTGCGCGCGCGCGCGCGCGCGCTTTTTTCTCCCATTTTTAGCCACTCGCCCCACTTTCTTACTCTCTCGCTCTCTGCCTCTTTGGTGACGAGGTGGCCGGCGGCCGAGGGTGGTGGTTTTCCATTCGGGCTTGCTCTCCAACCGCGGCGTCCCCAGCCGGCCGGACTTGCAGGCAACTTCCTGCAAGTGTGGCCGGCTGGGACGTTGCGGTTGGAGAGCCCGCTCCTCGCGCCCCGGAGAGCGAGCCAGCCAGCCAGCCAGCCGCCCAGGCACGTCGAGCGAGTCGGTCTCCCCCTCCCCACCCGCCGCCCGTGCAGGCACGCGAGCAGGAGAGGGTCCCCATCCGCGGCCGCCTCGTGAGCAAGGGAGCGCGCGGCTGCCCCGCGCCCGAAAAGTTGCCACAGGCGGGGCCCCGCGCGGCCGCCGTGCGGCCGGGGCTCCCCTGGCTGGAGACGGCCCTGCCTCGGCGAAGCCTTTCCGTCCCTCAGATTTGCCAGTTCGGGATTAGTTGCGAAAGGAGGAGGAGGAGGAGGAAGGTGTGAGGAGGGGGAGAGGAAAAGCCTTCAGACCAGCCGCACTGTAGCTCAGGGTTTTGGCCGGGCTCAAAAGAAATCCGTCTCCCTTCTTCGGGACTCGACTGTTTTTTCCCTCACTGTCGTGAAAGTAACTTTCCCTGAAGAACTCCGTAGCAGGATAACAAGCATAATAGGATGACATCTCTTCTGGATCCCAGGATTAAACAAGCTTTGCGGAAAAAGCCATCGGAGAGGTCTGAAGAGGTATCTTAATCTGTACATGTTTAACTTTATGTATCTTTGCTTAAATTTCATCGCTGCTTCCCATGAGAACTTTTTCACGGTTATGACTTCCACCCAGGAAGCTGCATGGAACTTGCGGGCACATCATCACACGGGACAAAGCACCCATGTCGATTTTGGGCTGTTCACATAGTGCTGCAATTGCTTGTTGGTGGTTTCATGACTGTGACCTATGTATGGGAGGAAATGCATTTCTACATGTGCATTCTGGGCATGTGATGACACATTAATATAATATTCATGTGGGATATTGTTCTGTGTAGAATCAGCCCTTATTCACACCGATACAAGGATTCGACTTTTGGAAGTACTATGGTGCATTTTTTGTAAACAAACATGGCTTTGTATTTTTGTTTTTAAGTACTTCAGGCTCTAGCCTTCTGAGAATTTTAGTCTCTGATCACTATTTTGTTATGTTGAGCAAAGGATGGAATAACTTAGCCTGCTTGTGGCACAGGATGGGTGTGCATCATTAAAAGCTGGGAGAAGTTTATTTTAGTGTGCAGGAACAATTGTGGGACAACTATGTATTTGAGCATGAAGTGATTGCTAATTTAAAATTAATTATGGCGCCACCCAAGGTAGCTATCCATAACCCTCTGAACTCAGAGGATTGTGGGCATCCAGTGAAGGCTTGCCTCTGCACACCCCTTGACCTCCAAAACAATTAGATGGCTGATCTTGGCTGCCTCAGTGCTGGCAGTTGGGATCATTTGGAGCAGGGTGATGCCTCACTTTGCCCATCCCCTGGAATGGCCCCCACAACGGCTCCAAAGCAGTTCTGCCTCCCACCAGCTGCAAGGGTGGAAGGAAGGCACTGTGAGGTCGGAATCCCTTGTTTGATACCAGTGTTTTTCTGAGCTGGGATGCTGGCATATTCTTTGCCCACTTCAGAAAATGTTTCACTCTCAGTATGCCAATATAAATTGTTCAGTAGGTAGTTGAGTAAACTGCAAGTCTAAGGCTGCCATTCTGTACTCATGTGGAAGCAAGCTTCTGTTTCTGAGTAGGCACAGATAGGATTGTACTGCAGGGGTGCAGTCCTATACCTGCTTTACTGGGAATAAACCCCACTGATTTTACGGACTAATTCTGAGTAGACACATCCGGGATTACTGTGTGATGCTACTAAAGCATTGGTTTGGCATTAAAACTCTTAACCAGCAATACTTTGGGTTTAGTGTCAATTATGTAAGTCCATTTTAATAGGATTTTGTACTGTGCTATTAGCCTGAGAATGTTTTTGTTGTTAAAAGTTCTGAATGGAGTCTTTTGAGTCATATTTGCTTTTCTGTACTGTGATTACATGTGGTAGAGAGAGGAAGAGCTGTTTGGGAAGATAATCATGTTACAGTTGAGTCTGTATGAGACAGGGAAGCATCTGTTCTCTGTTGATACTTCAGTTAGCAAAGAATCCTGGAAAAAGATCCTTTTAGAAAGTGTGTTAAAATAGGACATAGAAAATAGCCATGTGCGTTTTTCACAATTGGCCTTCCTTTAATATTTCCACATCCTAATCTTAAGCTCTTAGCAACATATAGCTTCATTTCATGCTTCTTGCTGCCTATACTGGACCTTGTGGAGACAATACTTAGGTAAAACATAGAAGGGATGGTAGGCTGTTGTTGATTGGGTTTAAAAAAAAATCATGTTTCCTTTGTTTCCATTTTCAATTTTGGCTTAGCCCAGACTTTGCCATCCTTCAGTTGTATGTAGTTCCTGATATTTGGGTCATAGCAGATTTTTAATGTTTTGCTAGAAATGGTTTTCTACTAACTAGATACCTCTAATACTAATGTTATATTTCCTCTTATTAAACATCTGAACATATAATTAAGAGTCGGAGATCTCAATCCAAACTCTTGTCTTTTTGTTTTTTTAAAGTCCATGGCATAACTATAAAGCAAACTCCAAAGGCTCAGGTTCTCAAGGTGCCCAGGTTAAGTGGTATACTGCATGTGACTACTGAAGCAAGGCCTTTTCAGCAGTGGCACCCCAACCATGGAATGCCGTCGCTAGACAAGCTTGCTGATTGTGATCCTTTTGTCATCAAGTGCAGAACATTTCTTCCAGGTGTTTTAATAGTGCTTAAAGGTTGAGCTTACTTTGTTTCTACAATAACCAGTGTTGATTTTTTTGCTGCATTGTTGTCTTTATTCTATCTGTTTAGCTTGTACTGTGGTTGGGTTTTGAGCTTTATGTTTTACTCTTTGGTGATTTTATGTTTTGTAAACTGCCTAGATGACTGTGTTGAGTGGGTTGTATGAATATACTTTAACATAAATAATAATAAAGCAGCATCTACAATTAAGTCTTTATTCTTCTGAAGCTATCTTCTTGAATTAAAAAGGTTTGCAGAGGCTTTGGAGTATCTCAGGATATGTAATATCTATCAGTCTTGGAGCCACTAACATCATGTTTATTTTCTGTAGCAATACAGTGGACTATTTAATTAAACTCTGACCTCTTGGATATGATATTACTAGTACAGAATTTTATAAATACTACAATAGGTCAAGCTTATTTCTCTAATCTGTGTTGCTATCTGAAAAGTCTTTTGACAGCCTTGCACAGATTTTTGCCATGAAGAATGTGGCACCCAGCTTTGTTGAACAGGCTGAATGAGATTTCTTTCAAGCTGAAGCTGTGAAAGGGCTGGGATCATCTTAGTAGGGACCTCCAGCTCTTTTTTATCTCTAGGACTGAGAAGAAGGCTAGTGGTGTTTAGGCAACTTTGTGGTCAAGGTGTTTTACTCAGTGAGTCTTGCTGTGATACAGGAACAGAGCAATTGATTATTCAATTGTAAGAGGTTATGAATGTTGATTTTAATATGTGTGTTTGCATTCAGATGTCCAGGCAGTTTTATAGGAACAGTTTCACATTCTCAACACAAGATTTAAATGAACAAATTAATACAGTTTATTCATGCTTTCTTTAAAATGAATTATTGATTTAATTTGTCCTGGTTTAAAAATTATTTCCCTTATTCCTCTGAACAAATATTAGGGTATATTTTTGCATTTTTACACATTTCTACCCACATTTGGCAAAAATTCACTTCTTTTCCATAACAAGAAATGGGAAAGACTGCATAAGTCATCTTTGCCCCAGATACCTGTATTTTCTTTCCTTGGTCTTTCTATTCTTGTTACCTGCATATAGCTCTAGTTTAGCATAAGCTAAGGTAGAGACGCATTTGAGGAGTTGGTGCAGCTAGGTCAGATCCAAATTCATAGTTAGCTTTTGGATTGCTTGTTCTATATATGTTATTTTGGGAGAAGAATAATGGGTTGTTAGATGATTCCCCAGGATCATAATCTAGTATGGGCAGGTGATGCTGCCTTCTGCTCATGATTATTTTTTGACCAGGGCACTGTTCTGTATATATGCCTGGCTCATTTTATAACCTCTTATCAGAGCTTGCTCTTTTTTAATATGTAGACATATTTTAACTGATGCGTTTTCCAGGCTAGGATTTTGACATATCCTGTGCCCCCCAGATGATGTTACGAGGCCATAAGATTCCACTATTGGTTTGTAGCAAGCCATAGTTTCTCATGTAAATATAGGAAATTGGTTTCTACAAACCATATTTAAGTATCAGACCGATGTTAAGTAATATTACAGGATTGTTCTGCTGTTGTGGATAATTTCCCTACAGCAACATATGGTTGATCAAAATGTAAAATACTTGTTCAGTGTAAAAACTGATAGGGAACTACACAACAGATTGGAGGAAAAATTCCTATTATTTTAATTTACTGGACAACAGATTTACAGAAAAATCCTTTGCATGGTTACTCAGAAGAAAGTCCCATTGAGTTTAGTAGGCTTACTCCCACACAAGTGTGTATAAGATTGTAACTATTATGTAATAGGTATAAGAATTGTGCCACATTTACTTATTCTATCTTTTGTAATTCTGCAGTCATGAATTTTTATTATAATAAGTCTGGGAAAGTCTGTTGGCTAAATTAAAGTTACACATAAGTCTTCACTCTGAATTAAGGTGGTAATTAGCACTGGTAGATGCATTCCTAGCAGAACTGCCGTAACTTAGAACATAAAAACATAAGAAAAACCTTGCTGGATCAGACCAAAGGTCCACCTTGTCCACCACTCCATACACATGGTGCCAGATGAGTTCCCTGCTGGATTGCTCTAGCAGGAAAGGTGCAAGACTTCTGCCTGTCCAGCCTCCTGAGCAGCTGGTGCATGCAGGCACGCCACCTCTGCTAAAGGAGGTAGTACATAGTCAGCAAGACTAGTAGTCCCTGATAGCCTCCTCCTTCATTAATCTGTCCAATCTCCTTTTAAAGCCATCCAATTTGGTGGCCATCACAATTTCCCATAGCAACAAATTCCATAGTTAAACTGTATATGTTCTGTGAAAAACAACCTTCATCTGTCCTGAGCTCCCTCCAGTCAGTGTCAAGGGATGACCCTGTGTTTGAGTGTTGGGGAGATGGAGAAAAATCTCTCCCTCTCCACTTTCTCCACAGCATGCATTATTTTAAACACTTCACCAGTCTACACTTGCCTTTTTTCTAAGATAAACAATGCCAGTTGTAGCCACTCCTCATGGGGATGTTGCTGCAGCCCCCTGATAATTTTTTCTGCCCTTCTCCTTACTTTTTCTAATTCAGTAATGCACTTTTGCAGGTGGGGTGACCAGAACTGAATCAATATCCTGAGTGTGGTTGTACCAAATATTTGTGTAACAGCAGTAAGATTTTGGCAATTCTATTTTCTAGTCCATTTCTAATTATGCCTAGCCTTATTTTTTTACAGCAATTGTGCACTGGGCTGATGTTTTCATCAAATTGCCTGCTACTACCCCAAGCTCCCTTTCTTGCTCAGTCACTGCTAGCTCAGATCCCATCAGCATATAGTTGTAGTTGGGGTTTTTCACCACGTGTGCATTACTTTACACTTGCTTACATTGAACTGCATTTGCCAT